TCGAAATTTGCGGAAAATTTTCAATTATCGCTTCCTTGAGTTTTCTAAGAATTTAGACACCGAAAATTTGCCGAAAATTTAGAGAACGAATACAGCCTTCTAATATCTTATGTATTGGAATATCGTGCCTCATCCATTCATGAGGATTATCGATCTTAGGTATTTTCGTATGTAGTGCTATGGATGAGCGCTGGCACGCGAAAGTTCAGTATCTGTCTGTCTGTCCGTCTGTCCGTCTGTCCGTCTGTCCATCTGTCCATCTGTCCGTCGGTCCGTCGATCCGTCGATCCGTCGGACGGTCTGCCTGCTTGCCTGCCTGTCTGTCTGTCTATCTGTCTATCTGTCTCTCTGTCTTTTTATCTTTCTGTCTCTCTCTCTATTCTCTCTTTGTCTCCGTCTGTCTCTCTCTCTCTCTATCTCTCTGTCTGGCTCTCTCTCTCTCTATCTCTCTCTTTCTATCTCCTTTCTCCTTCTGTCTCTTTTCTCTCCTCTAGTTCTCTTTATCTTTCTCCTCTCTCTATCTCTCTATCTCTCTCTCTCTCTCTATATCTCTGTATTTCTCTCTCTCTATCTCTTTTTTTCTCTCTCTCTCTCTCTCTATATCTCTCTCTACCTCTCTCTCTCTATCTCTCTCTTTCTCTATTTCTCTCTCTTTCTCTTCCTCTCCCTGTCTCTCTCTCTCTCTCTCTTTCTCTCTCTTTCTCTTCCTCTCCCTATCTCTCTCTCTCTCTCTATCTCTTTCTCTCTTATCTCTCTCTCCTTCTCTCTCTCTCCCTATCTCTCTCTTTTCTTGCCTCTCTCTGCCTATCTCTCTCTCTCTATCTCTATCTTTCTCTCTCTCTCTCTCTTTCTCTCTCTCTTTCTCTCTCTTTTTCTATCTCTGAATTTCTAATTCTATCTCTCTTCTCTCTTTCTCTTTTCTATCTTTCTTTCTTCTCTCTCTCTCTCTTCTCCCTCTCTCTCTCTCTCTCCTCTCTCTCTCATTCTCTTTCTATCTGCAGCATGCTTAGACTCCAATATTTTGGAGAAATTTGTAAGTTGCGAAAAATGAGTCGGTTCGATAATTTAATTTCCTGAAAATTTAAAAATTCGGGGCTGCAATTTTAAGGAGGAGGGGTTTCTTCATTGATCTCGGGCTAGGCCTAGATTTCTAAGTTTTTAGAAAATTTAGGGATCCGGGTAGTTCGACGCCTCGATCTCGAAATTTATGGAAAAAAATCAATTATCGCGCCTCTAAATATCGAAAATTTTCGAATCGACGATTTTCAGAAAATTTAGAGAATGAATATAGCAAAAGAATTTGCGTTATAATCTAAAAATGAAAATCGTGCCTCATCTATTCATATGGATTATCGAACTCAGGGATTTTCTTATAAAGTGTTATGGAGTCGTGCTTGTATGCGAAAGTTCAGTATTTATCTGTCTATCTATTTGTCCATCGATCCGTCGTTCCGTCCGTCTATCTATTTGTCTCTCTATCTACCTATATATCTCTTTATCTGCCTATCTCTCTATCTATTTATCTTTCTAATAAAATTCGTCGCAACCATATTCGGATCTTAATTGATACCTACTACGGCCAAGGGCTCCATTAGGGTCAATTCTTTATATATAAATTCATTGTAATTCGTTATTTGCAGCAATAATATTCAAATAGAATATATAGTTTAGTAGTATTCTAATAACGATAATCTAAATCTAAAATTTTTTCGTATAGTAGTGCAACTACGGACAAATTAATATCGAATTCTTGCACGTAATTTTCCGGTATCAAAACTAATTATAATTATTTAGACCTCTAATTTCATATAATAATATCGATTCATAAGAATATAAAACAGAACCAAGCCAAATAAACCAATTATTTCTATAGAAAAAAATCCATATATCTATATAAATGTAATCCGGACCGAATTATTTCAAAAATAAATATATAACCTTCGTATTTCTAGAGAAAGAAATTGAAATTATAAACTCTAATATTTGAAAATCCATGCTGGTTTAGCCTTCACATATCCGTGTGGTCCGGACTTTCGACATTGACCTATGAAGATCAGCCGGGCAACCTGGTAACCTAGTCCAACCTAGGCATATTGCAAATCGTGTGTTCTAGCAGGTGCCATTTCGGGGCAGCCTTTCGGCTGTGCCGACCTTGCATACATACCGATGTGTACACCCACACAGATACATACATACATACATACATACGTACATACCTTCCTACATACATACATACGTACATACTTCTCCTGCGAGCTTGGAGTCGAGGGGACGCGCTCCTTGCACGAATAAATTGGGTGCAACGATTACAGACTGCGGACCAATCCGATCTTTGCCCAAGGTGTCAAAGCTTCCAACGTTCGTGAATGTAAAGCCGAAATACGGCACGTTGAGTGGGGTGAAACAGAACGAGCCAGGCCAGGAACATGATAACAGCTTCCCACGCGAGTGTGGGACCTCCACCTATCTGGAACCACCACACCCAACTCATCTCTTCATGAATGGGGGCCTGAGCAATCGCCAGGAGGGTGTATAATTGCATAGCAGGCAGCCACACGGCTGAGTAACACACCCAGACCCTTGCCCAGACAAAATAAGCAGCCGCACACGACTGCAAGTTTGCCAAAACTGGCGCTGAAATTATTAGCGGTGTGCTTGGGACAGTGAGCCCCACGCCTAGAAGCTCGACATCTCCAGGCGGCGGCCCCCCTTCTCTCTGGAAATACTGGCAGAAGGCCCATATGGTCAAATATACATGGCCAAACAAGGTGAAGAAATGAAGCAAACCAATTGTTGCAAAGACACCAAACTCCTTCTGAAAAATCTTAGGAGCGCCAGTGTAACTGATAATGAAAGCGACCTTGGGGTTGTGGTTGGAAAAGTAGGTATCCTGTTTGGATTCTGATGCATCGTTGCTAAGAGGTTATCCAATAGTATACGTATGTCTTATCTCTGTATACATAAACACTCATACATATGTATTTGAAAAGCTTGCTGACTTAGGTTATAAGCTGAGAATTTGCACCAAACCCCTGCCTTGCCGCCCCGTGTCCTCAAGATCTGATCCCGGCCTCTCTGCAGGATGGCGACCGCCTCTTTCCCGAAGCAGTTGTCATCGAGCGATAGCTTCAAGGCAGAGTTCTCGAAGAGGCCTGAGAAGCTGGCTGCCCCGTCATCTGCAATGATGTTGGAGCTCAGGTCCAGTCTTTGCAAGACGCAGTTGTGGATCAAGGCATCGGCGAGGTGCTTGGCCCCTTTACACTTCAGGACGTTGTGAGATAAATCCAGGGATTCCAATCTGGTCTCCTTGCATGCGAGTGCTTCTGCCAGACCCTCTGCACCTTCCGCATCCACCAGGCACCAAGTGAATGTCACGTTCAACAGTGCGCTGTTGCCCTTGAAGCCCAAAGCTAATTTGCGCACTGCGTCCCCAGGGATGCGAAGGTTGTTAAGATGTAGCTCTCGCATCGTCAACGTGGTGGATAAGGCCTCCGCACCATGACAGTCAACCTGGCTGTTGCTTACATGCAAGACAATTAGGTTCTTGTAAAGCGGCAGCGCGCTAGCGAGGATCGGAATTTCGCGAAGGGGCAAAACGGATAGCTCCAGCGTCACACACTCGGCCGCCTTCTCCATGAACACACGGCCCTGCAACGCCTTCACGGCCTCGGCACTGTCTTGGTGCGTGAACAGAAGCTCGCGATTAGCCACTTTTGTTTGAAAGACCGTGGGTGCCATGGGAGCTCTTGTCCACGTCTGCGGAGACACGAAGGAGAGCGAGACAGTCTGTCGAGATCTGCTTCTCATGCTCGACCACTGGCATTCAGCTTCACACCAACCCCGCCGAGAATAGGGTGTGGAGTTCTCCTTGAGATCTGCCAAAGGTCGTACCTGCACCTTTCCATCTTGAGGGACTCCTGTCTCTGTGAAGAATACTTGAACATGCTTCTGCCTATCAGCTTCTTCAAACGGGGCCACGTCTTCGATGCGGTAGGTCCATGTGCACTCATGTGTGTAAAAGAAGTGCATGTGCATCATCGTGTACTGAAAACTTCTGTTCTGATGGACACTTGTGCGGTAGAACTGATACACCGACATGTCATGTAGTCCAAGAAATACCAGGAGTACTCGTCATGCCAAAGCTGGGCCCCGGCGAGCATCGCCAGTTGACTCCCTCTGGGATCAGGGTGTTCCCTGGTTTCCCACACATGAGAGACGCCGATAATCCGAACCTTGCGGCGATATGCTTTGTCTGCCTTCCACTTCTGTAACTCCTCGTGCGTGACGAAAGCATCCGGGTGCCTCGGATGGTTTTCCAACTCCTGGCGACGGATGAAAGTTTGCTTCTCCCTGTCAAGGGCTTTCAGGCAGGTTCCCCGCACCAGGCGAATGTCTACCCTCTCATCCAGGAGGAGGTCGGCGAGTCCAGAAGGATCCTGCAGGTTTGTATAGAGCAGCCGTACTGGCTCCTCCCGTGAATCAGTCACGCCTCCGCCTCCGTGCATTGCGACCCTCGCCTGCTCATCGATCTTTGGCTGCGGCATCCCTAAAGGATGCGCAAAAGATAATTGGGGGAGGATGCAGTCACGCATTCAACTCAAATGTGGCTGCCGGTTCTTGCTGGGGAGCCGGGTTGAAACATCCCAGATGCGGTGTGGTGTGGAGTGTCTGGTTGAGGTTGCTCGCGGCTGCCTGGAGTTCTGCAGTAATTAGGCTAATGATCTCGATGCGCTTGAGGGCTACTTAACAAAGCAAGGTTCGTTTTCCCTGAAACCACAGAGAGAGGGCGGGGATACTCAAGCGATGGCACGGTTGTGAAATGAGGATGTAGGCTTTAGGGTTGCGGCTCTCATAAAGAGTCGTAGAAGCAGATAGAACTTGGAGACTGTGGGCAAATGAACTCCACGTGCAATCCCCCAGCTGTTCTGGCATTCCTAGCCACGGTTTAGGGTTTAGGGTACCCTAAACCCTAAACCCTAAGGTCAGCGGCTCTTTTCGTACCCGGCTCTTTAGCGTCCGAGCTTTCGTGGAGCGAAGTGCACATTCAATGAGCGGGCCTAAACTTGTGGCCAGGATCTACCAGCGTCAAGGTGTAGGGCCCGAGGACTTCTGCAGAAGAGCTGTGCTGTAGTATCGCTGCCGTAGTACGATATTGTGTTTCGGTATATACCATGGTATTAATCATAGCATATATGCAGAACGAACCCATCAGTCTGTGCACTTGCCCAAGGTTTCACTTCAGAGTATGCCGGACAACATGATTCTACACAGTGAGCCACGAAACTCAGCTGCAAATCACACTCGCCGTGATGCTCTCACTTCTCATTCTGCCGCCTGACTTGAAGATGACCGAAACTCGACTAAATAAGCTTCACTCGCCAAGAACTTGCCGAAAGGACCTCGACACTCAATCTAGCATCCGTGGCATCATGTGATTTGCTGGGTTCGGCTGTCCGCGGTCGGCTCCAACCAGTAAGCCTGCAACTCGGCCTGCGCCATGGCCTCCAAAACATCAGCTGCAACTGTTCCGATCCAGCTTGGAAGCTGGCTCTCGAAGGGTGCTGCGCTATTTCCAGGTCCTGCAGCGCCTGCAATCTTTGAGAGCAAGATCGGTGGACCAAGCAGAAGCACGCTCGGCCGGGGAATGAGAGCCGTCCAAACTCTTCGATCTCCAGGTCCTGGCTCCACAACCAGAGCCCCGATGCCCGTGGCCCCAAACGTCTCGACGGTAACTGCCATACGAGCGAGCCGAGCGAGGGCCTGCACATCGGATGCGTCAGCCCCTATGGTGTTTACTGCGACAATGGCATCAGGCTTCATCGTCGCCCAAAGAGCTTCCCAAAATTCCAAGGACAGAAATTCCGGAGGGGCTGTTCCACGAAGAAAATCAATGTCAATTACCAGACCCGCCAGACTCTCGGGAGGCCAAGGCCGTTTTGGCCCCTGCACGATTCTGATGGCATCATCTTGCTGCACAAGAAGTCGCTCATGGGTTGCTCCGAAATATCTAACGGCAAAGTCGATAACCTCATGTTGCAGGGAGTGGGCCTAGGCCTAGGCCTAGGCGGTAACAAACACAGGAAGAGTGACCCAAGCGAAGCACACGGAATTCTGAAGTACTAGAACACATCATGCTGCCACGTCGTGAAGCTCCACCACATGGACCCAAACAGATTGCACATGGGTCACCAGAACCATTGGCAATGCCATTCCACCACCACCCAGGACGCACAAGGAATGTCGCAAGCACTCGGAAGTGGAGTCCAAAGCTAAACCCAAAGCCAGCACCATCACTTGATGAGAGGCTGCCCTCAAACCGTCACGACAAAAATGCCGCTCACCCTTCAGATCTGGCGCAGTGAGCTGCACCCTCGTCTGATCAAGAGACAAAGCAGCATCGGACACCATCCAGCGCAAAGCACCTCCATCCGAAGTTTCCTCTTCCACTACACTCCAGCCATCACGACGTTCCAGCGTCTTGGGCCGAGGCACCGTCGACAGCTGTGGAACTTCGTCGTCATTGAACAAAGGAGGGAGCCCCTCAAGATCCGAATCTGAGTCTTCGGATGCCATCTGCGAGCAGCCCGTTCGATTCCTGACCAGTTGCGGAAGTCTGCGTGACGCATCCTACATAATCGGTGGGTCATGGTGGTTGGCTGCTGCAGGAAACTTGAGATTCACGAACTGGCATCAGCAGTAGCAGCTGGGAAGCGACACCCAGCAGAACACTTCAGTCAGCAAGATCTGCATGCAGTCTCTTTTCCACGCATCCTATTTGTCTTTGTCCTTTGTCTTTTTCTTTTTGGCAGCTTTGCCATCGTCTTTCGCCTGTTTCATTGTCGGTGCAGCAGCGCCGCAGAGCGGAAAAAGAGTTACTGGGTTGAGAGTTTCGCTGGAAGGCAGACAAAAGTCACCAGAATGAAGTGCACGCTACGAGTCCTTGGCTTCTTTGCGCCTCTTTCCTCAGCTGTCGCACCCAAGCAGAAAAAGCTGGCATGCCGCGCAGACCTGGAACCTAACAGACAAATAGCAAGGAACAATGCAGCTTAGCTTCTTTCCGTAGGTGGCGAGTCCTGTGACAAGAAGCTGCATTCTTCATGGTCCGAATTGATTCAAACTGACTGGTCTTCCATTCCATCAACCCAGCAACTGGAAGCCATCCGACATCTCCTGGAGTTCTTTGGCTTCTTTCGGTCTCTTGCCCTCCTTCTTCCTGTCCCAGCGCTGAGTCGAAGTTAGAAATCGCTGGCAGTTTCGGGTGTCAGTGACCGGCTGCCAGCCTCCGCTGTGGAGCTTCATCCATCTCTGGGCTGCCTCTGCTGCTTCTTTTCGACGCGCATGGCTTCAGTATGCTCGCAAGAGTGCTTCCGAGCTTCTCATGACTTCCATCAAGGGAGGTGCGGCAGGCCCTTCGAACGAAAACTTGCCTTTGTCGGAACCCAAAGCCACCTGCAAATTGATCCAGAAAGCACCAAGATCGAAAGCTACAACCCTACTCCTGTCCGTCACTTTCTCGACAGCCCGCCTTTGGGTCGAGGTTCTGCGTGTTGCCGAACCACGTGCCTTTTACATGTGTTGGCTCCCCCGAGGCCCTGACAAGCATAGACACGTTCAGCCTTCCATCGAGTCGAAGAACTTCTCCGTCTCGTCCTCTGCGGTGGTTTGTGTATTTCCATGATCACAGAGTGTGCAAGATGCCCCGAAACCTCGAGGAGTTCAAGATCCGGAAGATCCGGAAGCTTCAGCGGGCTCTTCTCCCCCAGAATCTGAATGAAGGGAACTTGCATTTCGGACTTTCCTTGGCAGGGCAAGCCAAGCCCTTACTCACGGTCGACGGTGCCATGCTCCATGTCGCATCCGGGGAGGACTCGTCCGACGACTATGTCGTCATCTTGTCTCCTGTGCACACCTCTACAACTGACGATGAATGTGTGTCTGGGCACCGTCTCGAGCGAAAACAATGGTAACCTCGGGATCTGCGGACATGTCAGTCCAGCTTCAAGAGCTCTGACATCTCGTCACGACGATGGCGGAACGCAGCAAAGCATCCAGGCTTAGTGACCATCTTCCTGATTTTATATGTTCAGACGAGGCGCAGATTTCTGTGAATTAGACACATGTTTCACCACCACAGGCATTTCTTTTCCAGTGGATCTTGATACCTCGGCTCACCCTTGGCACATTGAACCGTAGCCCCCATGCATGGCAAGATGGTTGCTGGAAAGCTACATATACCAGCTTCGCATCTGCCGTGACCCATCCCGGCAGCTGAGCATCGGCCATACCATTCGCACAGACCTTCTTCTTGCTGCATGCTGAGAGGTGAGCAGGTGCGCCGCACGATATGGAAGACTGTTATTAGGCTTTGGAATCTGTGTGGGGCCGGGGCATCGACACTGCACTGAAGTGCTGTGCTCACACTACTTGCCCCTGCAGGTATGGCTTTACTCGTTCCGTGGGATCCAGTCTACTCTCAACAGATTTAGCCTCGAAGCCAATGAAGCTGCGCGTGCCTTCTCTGCATTAACCCTGTACTATGCATGTCGCGCAAAGGGCAGCATGTCAGAGTCGATTTTTGCAAGGGGCTCTGCCGCACCTTGGTTTTGTCAGGCACATCCTGAAGGAGAATTGGCATCTGCCTCTGCTGAGAACTAGTAGAACACATTCATCTGCCCACGGCATTCGGGAACCTGTTCGTTCCAGATGCAACCCTGGCAAATGCCAACCTTTTCCTGCCCTACCTGCCGACTCCTCACGAGTCACCATCGGGCTTCTCGGCACCGTACCTGCACCAATGCACAGGCACAAAGCAGTACTGTTTTTTGGTTTTTCTCCTTCGACTCTCGGACCTCACACCTCCTCTAGTCTACTCCTCTTGCGGCGCACTTGCTTCGTGACGTCCTCCTGCCCTGCACTCCTTGCAAATCACGGGCACCACGACACAGAGTGTACCTGGCAGGACGGATGTAAAGAAACGGTTGGTAACGGAGAAGATGTCGCCTCTCGAAGCTGCATGCTGGCCTGACTCCGACAAGATCTTTACGACGCCCTCCGCGCACCAGGACAGAAGAGAATTCCTGATGATGCATGCTGCCATCGTCAACTGCAGAGCCGAATTCGTCAGCTTCCGTGTGTGTCCTGCAGGTTGTGGCCCTCCCCTGGAATGTAGCCGATGATTTCGTAAGCGTTGGACAACTTGACCTGGAATGCACCCGTATGCATTTATCAAACGGAAGGCACCCTCGACGTCGAGAATCTTCTGCAACAGCTTCAGCCGAGACGGACGGGTATGGTCAAGGTCGAGAGCATTGCTTGCCTAAAGTAACCCGATGTTACATCGCCAAGCCTGAAACAGTCGCACTGGACCGGCAGAAGTGCCGTGCAACTTTGTAAGGTCAACCCAAAACTGCCACGATGTGACACAAGGTCACTGTCACTTGTCGCTGGAAATTGAACGAGTAAAGCTTCTCTGCCCAGTCTGCCTACATAACTAAGTATCTAGGCAGCTGAGCTTAATACATAAGCAGATAAGCCCTGAGTCTGTTGAGTCTTCGAGGCTCTCTGCATCAGAAAGCAACGCTTGGGGTGTCTGAATCTTCAAGGCTCCGGCACGGCAGACCTTTCGGATGGCGGAGTTCGGCTTCTTGGGTGACATCCTGCAGATTCTGCGGGCGGACAGGCGGCTGCCATGAAATCTCGATTCCACGGCTCCGTGATCGGTTGACATCCCACTACCGTAACTCTCGAACGAGCGCTGCCACAACCACTGCCACGATCATCCAATGATGAAGATGTCATTGCCACTGCGCAACTGAAACTCCAGCTGAATGATCTGTGGTTCATACCAATCCAGCAGCTCCTGTAAAAGCCGTGACTATACTGCCTGTCTAAAGCTTTAAAATTAACTTGCCTCTGATGCAGTGTCACTACATTCACAATGTCGTACTTACTGCACCTTTCATCTTTCCACTCAGCTCCGTGCGTGTAGACGCGCGTCACGATGCCAGCTTTCTGCGGCCTGCTTCAGAAATGCTGCACCATCACCAGCCCGAGCGTCTGTCACCTGACACTGAGCCCAGTGCCCCTTCTGAAGCTCCTTGCGCTTGTCACGTGGCTTTGGTCGCACCATTGGTGGCCTCGGAGCGAGCACAAGACGAGAATGGTCTGTGGTCTTTGAAGAAGCCAGGTCCAGCGACGGCCAGCTTGATGTTGCTCTCTTTGAGAAAAAACTCGACATGGCAATCGCATCTTCTTAAGACTCGAAGCGCAAGAAATGCTCCAGGATTCGAACGAAATTGCAACCGTTTGCAACTTCGGGGGCTCCAAACGGACTCCCGGTCGCATTCAGAAGCTTTTTTCCCCGCCGCCACCCCCCCCCCCCNNCCCCCCCCCCCCCCCCCCGCCCAGCAAGGAAATGCAATTTTTAAGCCTACCCCCTGCGTGTTGTTTGGGAGAACCCTTGTCACCGAAGCCAGCAGAGCAGCACTGTTCGACTTGCATGCGATGTGGAGATGCAACCGACGAAGCATCAACCCTTACCCACACCGCTCGAAATATCGCCTGCTTCCTCCATTCCTCATTCACAACTCACGCCCTACAATGCGGGACGGTGCGTCAAACGGGTGCTTCTGGGTCTCTGGGGGGTCAAGTCAACTGACAAATTGAAGTGACCACAAGAGCTAGACAGACAAGCCTAATCCCTCCCAAATATGCCCCCAACGCCGAACCCGGAAGCTGCTTTGGCGGCATCTCTTGGCCCCTCGGGGTTGGCTCTGCGAGACCCCAAACCGCAGTTATCCGCAGATGGACCTTCGTCTCAGGGTGCAGGGCCGATTATCAGATGCAGACTGCCTCAAGCTCACATGCTCTCGCACGTCGTTTGTTGGGTTCCTCCCAACCATCCAAAGACGGCTCAGATGCAACATGTAGCTGGGCATTTATCGCTACACCAATCGCTGGAAAATCGTCAGAACAGCGGCTAGCAGGGCTCTTTGAATGAAAGGGAAGACGACATCTTCATGCGTTACGCATACCTACTTAGTACCCTGGGTTACACAATCCATTCTGCAATCGTCTTGCAGATTCTTGTTATATTGGGGTGGCGAGCTGCAAGAGGAATTCCCTCAAAACCCCATAAACTATTGACGGAGTAGTTCCCGACTTCCCCGGAGCTTCGGAGTGTACTGTGGGGATTTGAGCAGGCACGAGGAACCGAAAAGGAAGTGAAGAGCGAATGCAGCAAGCCAAAAAGCATTGTGCATTGCACTTCCTTCAACAAATCTTCTCCCACGTGCCACCGCCCTAGTTAGCACTGGCACCAAAATTGCAGCTTCTTCTGGGTGACTGACGCCGTCACTCCAGGAATCCGTGCGCACGGACCCATGATGGTAACGAGCCTCTGTCAGCGAGGCGGTGCATTTGCACACTCAGGAACACCGCAAGCTTGAGGATGCTAAGATGAGGGCGCCAGCAGGCTTAACGGCAGAAGCCACAACCTGGGCAACGATTCCGCAGTACTCCCCTCGCAGAGGCGAAACAATCCAGCACTCGAGGCTGCGACCGCATGGCTGGAGTCTGCAGGCCGTACTACTATCTCTACGGCCACTCCGCTGGTGAACCATGCAACGGGCATACATAATGGATTGTTCGGTGCACAGCATCCTTCAGGCATCAAGCAGCGCGTGAGAGCATGGTTTACATGAGCGATGAATAATTCTCAGAAGTTGCAGCTGAAAGCGGTTCGAACGTGTACGGCATGGCTTCGCGAGCTGCTTTTGTGCCGCTGAGAGGCTTGCAGAATTGAATTGATGGAGCTTCAGATATCATCTGTCGCGCGTCCACCGTGCGCTTACCATTAACTTGGAGCTGGCAATGCTGGAATCTGCAGTGCGCACGCACCAAGACTTTCACACTTCGGGATTCTCAGACCGGCTGCTCACATTCCTAGCTCTGCCAATAAGAAAGGCAAGTAAAGCCCATGGAAAACATCTGTTCAAGATCGTAGGCACAGCCATGCGGCCTTGCCACATGCGACCGGTGGCCGGCTGTCAAAGCCTGTACAGTCTTGAGCTGAGCTTGCCAAGGTTGGTACTCAAACTACACTCTTACCCTTAATCTTCAGGTCTTAAGGCACTCTTCGGGCCGCTGCTGATGTGTCGATCCCTCAGCACGCACAACAGATCAAACAGTTAAAAGCCGAGACATCGGAGGTCGAATGCTCATGCTCTCACCCAGTTCTTGAAGAGCTGCCCGGCAATGTAACCTGTCTTGGGAGTTGGGAGGACGCCTGCGGTGCCTACAAGAAATTGGCAGTACATGGCATCATCACAAAGAAGGCTTTGACAACAGAACAAGCACCACAACATACTAAGTAGCAGTTCACTCGCGAGACATGCAGATACTGAAGACTTCCCGGAGCTGTTGCCCAAGAGGCGTTCCGACTGTTGCAGAGCCCTGGGCACTCACGTTCGTCGAAGGTATTTGAGCAGCATCGCACGAGGTTGGTCCGTTGGTGTGCAGCAGTGAAAAGGCAAGAAGCAACATGAGCAATCCAAGCCAGGTTCACTAATGCCAGCGCCCCGCTCGACCTGCAGCTCTGGCACCTGCCCGAACGTGTCAGGAAGTTGTGTCTGACCAGCTTTGGGTCGGCACGGCAGTCGAGTTTAGAACAAGTCTAATGCTGCACGTCGCCTTGTCGGCCACGAAGTCGATAAACTCGTAATCCTGTCCACATGGCTGATCTAGCACCAACAGCTTGCACTGTGCGCAGTCGTGTTCTCTGCAACACGATCTCTAGGCCGCACAGGCCCTGCACAAGTCGGAGCCTCGTCCAGCATCACACCGACGCCCTGCATCTGAGTGATGGCTCGGGACACAAATGCCAGCGCAGGAGGCAGCTGGAAGTACCTTTCAATCCACTGTCTGGTCTAGGGCCCAGCTGCCTAGCTGAGTACAGCTCAATTTTCCGGAGGCATGTATGTGTATCGTTCGAGCATCGCTGGCTCCAGAGGGCGCACTTCATCACCTCCGACTGCTTTGGCGCTTTCTTCTGCTGCTCCTCCTGTCACCAACACTTTTGACATGTCTCCGAGCGACCCCGTGGTATTCAACGGTTCAAATCGCTGGCAGCCGAGAGCAACTCTCGGATCCTCTGTAAGCTCACGCTTTCGCTTGCTTCGCTTGCTCTTCACCTGCTCCACAGGCTGTCCCAATATTCCATACCGACTCTCCCCCAATGCCTTGCCCGTCTCAAAGTTCTTCTGGACGACACCTTCAACGGCCTGTGTGAGGGATATTTGGCTCTGTGGCTACTCGGCTGCCCCCTTCAAGGCCGCAGCGAGCCTTGAAGTCGGTCCCTTCTTTCAAGCAGCCCAAGCTGTCCATGGCCTCGGAGCAAACTCGGCAGTTGCGCGACCGGATTGGTCCACTTAAAAAGAAGCCTTGCCTTCACGCAGTCTTTGGCCTCAAAGTCCACAATGGACTGGATCACCTGGACCCGAAACCCTAAACATCCCTAAAGTCCCTAAAGACTTGCAGAGTGGCGAGTCGGCCTGTAGGATGCCATCTGCTTGACTGTCAGTGAGCTCGCAAGCCTTCAACATTCAATCATTCATTAGGGTTTAAGCCTTTAGGGTCCATAGGGGCATCAGTGCATACATTGCCCTGCTAGACATTGTGCTTGCTGTCTGCAAGTTTAGCACTCTACCGTTGAGTTTACCAACTGCTGGGCCTGGCCAAAATCATAGAAGATCAGGCGACCTCCCGGGTATTTGTCATCCACGGCCAAGTTGCCGGGATGGGGGTCCTCATGGCAGGTCCAGTGCTTCTTGGGGACCACTCCGGGAAGGCGTGTTCTGGAAGCATACTCTGCTGCTGGTCCGTGTTGAAGAAACCGAACTTGCAGAACTGGAGGAGGTATGCCTCGCGGGGAGATGTATCTCCGGATTCTTGCTTCCGATGGCCGGCGCTCTGCCTGCGCCAGATTCTTGGCCAGCAGCGTCCTGTCGAAGCCCTGACTCTCGAGCTTCTTCAGGTCCTGGAAAGACTTTGACAGCACGAACCCATTGTTGCAGCACAGGCGAAGCACTTGGACGGTCCGAGATCTTTGTACCGGCGATGAATGTGAGCGCCAGAACTTTCGAGGTGGTGACTGACATGAGTCGAACTCGAAGGAAGTCAATCATGGCAAGCGGCAGCAGCAACACGACAGGCAGACACTCGTCTACAACTTCGGGGCTCGTGACCCATTTGACCTGATCAAAGCAGTACAAAGCGAAGCAAGCAGAATGCCAAATGGGCCAAATCACCTTCTCGAAATTTTCAGTCCACCGTCTCGTGTTTTCCGCCTGTCACTGCGCAGCATGCACCGATCCCACTTTAAGCATGGAAGTGCCTCTGCCAGGTAGTCGATCTCTCGATAAAGAATGACCTCATTAATCATACGAGCTTGAAAAAGGCTGACAGAATGTGCCCAATGTTCATGCGGATGTTCAAGAAACGGTTTTGAGTTCAACTCCGTCCACCCCGTGCCACGGCAGACTTGTGCAACGGAAACTCGGAAAGTATAAGCTTGTGTCGCACCTTGGCCTCCTCGAACATGTCGACCCACACCTGCACCAATTGGAGGGATCGTTGCAAAAAAGACCTAGGACTGCTCAGCGGAAGATCACGCCTGTGAAGCGCCTTCCACTCCGATCTTGTACTTGTCCAGCATGACAGCAATCTGCGCTGAAGTGGCAAAACGCGATTGGTACTCGCAATTGCTCAGCACCGAAGTATATTGCTCACAGCGCCTGGCCTTGTCAAACTGCGCTAAATCCTTGGAATTGAGCACTTGTGGGAGTTTGGGGAGGCAGTGCAGGCAGAACCTCTGAGAATGCAACAAGATCGTACATCTCCTTCAACTTGTCTCGCTGGATCTCGGGTACAGGCTTGGAGCTTCACAATGCGAGGCCCCTTTAACTCCTTCAGAACCACTGAAACACGGTCTGTGTGACAGCGGACCTTGATGGCAAGCTCTTTGCCATCCTTCGTCCTGGCTCTGTGCACCTGCGACACGCTGGGTTCAGACACCGGCGTTTTTGTTGCGGCCATCCTCCCTAGCCGCCGTGTCAGCTTCTTTTCTCCGTTGGCGGCCCGGTCAGAACTCTGGCGCGCTGCCTTCCTGGACCTGGGCCTCGGCTTTGTCTTCGGTACCAGTACCATCCTTCTCGTCCTCTTCGTCATCCTCGTCGTCTTCGTCTTCGTCCTCCGGCTCATCCTCACTCTCGAAGTCGCAGTCACAGGCCTTTCAACTAGGGGCTCTTTGACATTGACATCTGCTTTCTTGGCATGACGACCAGGTGCCAGAATTGGCGATTGCAACGGCTGCTGAGTGCATATTCCCTCTTATGCCAGCCTTGTTCTCGTAGACTTCGCAAGCTTTCTGCAGATTGCACTCATGGAGGAGATCTTCATAACCTTGTAGAACTGAGAAACCGCAAAGGACTGGGTTGACCTGCACTGAAAACGCAACAAGTACAGTCGACAGCTATCGCCAGTATGAACGCAGCAGCCCACACCTCGATCACAACCATGTACCTTGGATGAGCAAAAGCGAGCAACAGTTGAACAGGCGACCAACGCTTGAAATCTATTCCGTGCCGGGGCGCTCTGCATCGGACACGGAGAGCTCCACCGGCAAGGGGCCCAAGACTTGCTTTAACCTCTTGGAAACTGGATTCCCAATCTTATCTTTTTGGGGGACGCTGCTTCGAGGCCAAAGGTGCAAGTGAGAAAATTGTTGCAGCTCAGCGAGGCTGGGTCGAGGACACACTCATCGCTTCATCGCGTTTGATGGTGCCCATCGCACGGCTGTGGAAAGCAAAGTACCAACCCTTAGCCACTGGCTGTCCTTTCCCCTGCACACTGCAACCCGCTAAGTATGCAGGCAGGCGTTGGCTTCGATAAGCGGAGCGCCGAATCAATTCTCGAAAAGTCCAAAAGTCAAGAAGCGTTCGAAGTTTCGGCTTGTCGTGTTGTCCTGTGCTTCGCACTGTTCGATACTTTTCTGGTTTTTCGGTTTGTTCTGCACCTTTCACACTTCGCGGCTTTTCGGGTTTTGTGACTTTTCGTGTTTGTCCAAGCTTTTCGCACTTCGGCTTTTCGACTTTGCGCGCTTTTCTGAGCTTTTCCCGTAGTTCGCGTTTCGCTTTGCTTTTCGTACAAAAGCTCCAGGCCAGGCTAAGCTCCAAGGGCTAAACTCGGGGTAGGCCTAGCGAGGCCCAGCTCCAAGGTGTGGTAGGCCTGGGTGCTGTTCCAGGCGAAAGTGCAGCGAAGCTCAGGGCTTGACTGAGGGTAGGCCAAGAGGTTGGGCTGGACAGGTAAGGGTTGGTGAAAAAATGAGGGTAAATCTCGGTACTGTAGGCCTAGGCTCCTAGGCCTGACGCAGCAGGAAATCGAGTAACGGTCGACAGTAGTCGTAGCACCGCAGTACTGTCGCGGCAATTGTTTTCAGCAGATCGAGCTTAATGGCAAACTTTGCTGAATTCTCAATCATTTCGGGTTCCACCCCAGTCACAAATAAGTAGCCAAAAAGCATGGGTATGTTGGCAGAGTTTTCGGTTAAGCGAACTCTTTAAGTAAAGCGTGTGCTTTCACTGTTGTTTGACAATTAGGTTCTTCCCACAAACAAGCAATGGAGTTTTGGTCTGTTGTTGGGGTCTCAGGAGGCGCCCAGCTGCATACTTCAAAACAAGTTGTCCTTTTCATGGCATTCAGACGCAGCAGAAACACACGCAGCTTTCTATTGCTAGGTTTTGGGATACTTCAGGTGATTTTCAACAGGCTCGGGAAATGCCGACTTGCAAATTTCGGTGATTTGGTATCCTCAAAGCACCTAAAACGAACGGAGCCATTCGTAAGTTGCTGCATTCTCAGATGTGGGGGACCCTTAAAAAATCCAATGAGTGTTGAGCATCTCATGTGTCATTTCGACTTTTTTCGGGTCTGAGGAGCCAACGAAGAACCTGGTGCGCAATAAATTTCAATGAGTTTTTTCATGTTAGGCATCCTCGAAAAACCAGAAATGAACGAAACCATCGGCATTTTCGATTTTTCTTGTTTGCGGAACCCTTAGTGGCAACTTTCAAGGAGCTTGCAGCATCCCGTGGTTCCGACAGCACCAGAAAGTGAGAAGTGTTTGCCTAATTTTTCAGGTCTGTGAACCACCAAATCCAAGCAGCCAATAATACAATAATTATTAAACCCTAAACCCTAAACCCTAAAAATTTATCCAAAACATAGATGCTCTTGGCCGAGCTGGGTCTTCGGGTCAGGCGAACTTCCCGGAAGCGCTGTCTCAGTGATGTTTGGCCTGAATGGTTGAGTTTTAGCCTTCTGCAGTGGTTGTGGCTTTTTGCTCGCAATGTCGATCGTTTTCGATACTACGATTTTTTGACTTTTCGATTTTCGCTGCACTTACCGACTTTTAGACTTTAAGCTGTTGACTGTACTTTAGGACTTTTCGCAGCTTTTCGTCTTCTCGTTATTTGCTTTTCGACTTTTCGGAGTTTCTGGTTTTGGCGCAAATTCCTGAATCAACGCAAGGAGGTTTCGCTTTGCGGCTTTGACGTGCTGTTTGGCCTTCCTCGCTTGTCCGCGCCAACTGCCACTTCTTGGAAGCCGAGGCACCGCACCATCCCTGGCCTTGGCAAAGGCTCCGGGCAGCACCGCAGCCGCAGCTGCCTGGAACGACCGTGAGCACATGTCGCCTGGCCTCCTCGGATGCCGTGAACCTGCCTGGAAGTTCTTCAAATGAGGTGCGCATACATAGTCCAGTGGAGCCATGCGACACACGAATCGCGCTGCCTCACAGATGCATGCAGAATTGCAAGGTTCTACTTCTCAGCATGGCCAAAGAGTTGCCCGGTGTGCTCAACTCGAGCTGCCCACGCCTGCGCATCTTGCCCACCATCGCGCTGCTGCGCGAAAACACGCTGCACCAGCTCTGACGGAGAAGGAGCATTCAAATCCTCCTGTAGGGACACGAATATGATCCAGGAGTGCAGTCATAGCACCGAGCACGGTCGTAAGGTATCGATTCTGCCTCTTCTCCAGGGTAGGACAAGAGCGCGACACCACGACTGACCTGCTTCAACCAAAACATGCGTGTGTGCACACAGTGAACCAAAACCGATGTAATTATGTTAGTTAGGACTTCGAGTACTGCTACTGTAACTGCTAATTGCTGGGACTGCTACTAGTACTAAGACGACGACGACTACGACTGCTACTCCATACTACTATAGTGCTATTACTTCTGTACCAGTGCTACTGTACGTCATGCCCCCAACGTGTGCCCGCAACTTCATCTCTACAGAATCGCCTTCTTGATCGAGCACCGTGAGAAGAGAGCATCCATGGCCCAACCACAGTAACGTCCATTGTTGGGAGTAGACTTTATCCATGGCTCAACCATAATGATAACGACGCTGCTACTTCTGCTACTCTTGCTACTGCTCATTCTACTGCGACTTCTTCTTCTTCTTCCTCTACGACTGCTGCTGCCACTGACCATCCCGCGCGCGGCGGCAGCCCCAGCCAGCATCATGGGCATCATTCGCAGTGCTCTGGCAGGATGCGTGAAATATAGCGGGCCGGAGGCTTTGTTGGCTCCACACACGAGGCCCGTATAGACTTGAGTCACGCTCGGCCTCCAATACAACGGCCCCACACCGCGCCGATGCTCATGATGCTGGCCCACATTTCAACATTCACAGGTTTCGAAGGGGTCAGAGACCCCCAATGATGGCACCAGCGCTGAACAACGACGATGCAGTCGGATTTATTCTATGTAATTCTGCCCCTCAAGTGCTGCGACGACGGCCCTGGCTGCATTTCCATTGGTATGCCGTTCCTGTGACCCTTCTGCTATCTACTCCACTGTGACATGTAATCCTGCTTCTCTTCTAGTATGGTTCTGATCTTTCCTGTCATTCCTATTCTTCTTATTGTTTCGATTACCCTTCCACTCTTCCGGTTGTTCCTGCAGCTGCTGTGGATCCGATTAAAATGCTCCTATTGCCGAGTGGCCAGAGTTCTTGCGACTATTTCAGCTACTGCTTGCCCCCCAAAGGGAGTATTGCTGGCTGCAGCTGTTTCCTGGTGTTGTCGCCGTTGTCTCTCTGATTGATCTTGCTTCCTGCTGTAAGTAGTTCCTAGCGTGATTACTACTCACCTGAAGAAAACAGCAAGCCTCGCAGTAGAAGTGGAGAGGTCTCTTCTGAGGCTTCGCAGAGCCGTCTCCCCTGAAAGAGGGCAAGAAAGATATACCCATAGCACGAAGCCAAGCTGGGTCTGGGGGCCTCAAGGCCTGAAGTTCTGCTTCGAGGGACTCGCCTGCGGATCTGGCAGCTGGGGTATCCTGCACTGTGATTGGATGAGCATCTTTCAACACTTCGCCATGGTCTCTGTCCTCTTTGGCTTCAGGCACTTGTCGAAGTGACTCTGAAGCTGCCTCCTGGATTCCCAGCATCGCCGCTTTTGCATGCTTATGGTCGCATGGTCTCGAATATTTTGCAGCTATTTGAAGAACAACTCTGTTTGGCAATGTCTCCAGCAACCGGATCGCTTCTCGCGTTGCCTCAGGGCCCACAAGCAACGAAGCAATGGTATCTCATACACGCCAAAACGACACCAGGCTACGACAAAAGACGCTCGAGGCTTGGGGGTTTCCGAAAATAGGGGGCCCTAAGATAGTACCCTAAATAGTAGGATCCTGATTATAAGGACCCTAAAATAAAGTACCCCTTATTTTCGGAAACTCCCACACTGCTCTGGCCTTGCTGCATTGGCTCGGCGTGTGGCTCGTGATGAGCAGAGACCGTGTAGGCATTGGTCCACGCGGTCTCTTGCAAGGCGCCCCTGAGGGGCACTAGACAAACAGCGTGGAGCTTAGCGATGTAGGGTGCTTCCTGTGTGGAGGATCACTCTTGGAGCTTATCTTGGGGTGCACGTGAACACTTCTCCCGGCCTTTGTCGTTGGCCTTGCCTTTCCGCTTGCCCTTGCCCTTGCCCTTGCCCTTTCCTTTGCCGGCTTTGCCCTTGGCACCTTTGCCGCCCCATTTTCTCTTGCGGCCAGCTTCACCCATCACGGCATGGCGGCATCTAGGAATCGGAAGTGCAGCGAGCGTGTAAACGGTCAACAATTGATGCAGCAGGCCACGAGCATCGTTCCGTCTTGCTGTGCATCTATCTCACAAAGCCTCTGCTTCCTTTCAGTTCTGGAAAGCAGCGGATGTATGATAACGACGTAAGTCCCGCATACAGCATCTACCTGACTCCACCTAGGCTTGCCCGGGTCATCATCCTGAAGGCTGATGAGTCTGCCGTGGACTTTATCGACTGTCACCGACACCTGTGCTTTAACTCCATGCTGAGCTGTAGAGCCTGGCTGCCCGTGGAAAAAAGAGGGAACAGTGAGAGGCAAGGATTTGGGACTCCTGGAGCACTTCGCCTGTCCGAGGGACGCAGCCGCCATGGGCTTGTCATCGAACTCCTCGAAGAGCTCGCTGGCCTCAAGCCCCAGCTGTGCGAATGACCTGCCTTCGGCCGGATCCCTGCAAGGGGCAATCGGGGCAAGCACCGGCTTGCCGAGCTCAGACTCGATGATCTTGAGCGCACGAGCTCCGCTGAAAGGAGGAACCTGGAGAGGAGAAAAATCAAGCGTCGATATTCGGAACCCACGCCACGTCCGGATGCCTCGTCTTGAAGTGTTTTCAGCTCTTCTATGTACCTCCCCGAAGTTGGAGACTTCATGAAGAATCCGAGCCCTCGCCTTCACGCTCGCGCATGTGCTTGCCGGAGGTGAGAATGCCTACAGTGCCGCCGCGAGTGGCGTCTGCAGAGATCACTTTTCGACTTGCATCGATGGCCAGCTCTGGCAATTGAATTTTCAGCCCAACCCGCGCTGCTCTGTTGACTATGTTGAACCCTTGCACTAAGGGTGTCTTACTCTTCGCCGACGAGTCAAGCTGCCCCAGCACAAGCTTTCAGACTCTCAGAAGATCGAAAGCCTTGAAACGAATGGCAATGGTGGAAGTCACAGCCCATCTTGGGCCGCTTCCTCATTGTTGTTTCCCTACAAATCCGTGGCTACTGCTGGCTATGCACGCGGAAGGGTCCAGACCTGGCCAGTGAAATTACCAGCAACACATCGAACGATATCAGACAAACACACGGAAGGGCGTGAAATGCTGTCAATCACCAGCACACCGATTATCATTAAGATCATCTAAACAGTCGTCGAAAAGTCATCAAGGAGCAGTCACAGCAGCAGCAGCAGCAGCAGCAGCAGCAGCAGCAGCAGCAGAGGCATAATCATCATAGCTCATCTGCAGCATCATCTGCAGCATCCGGACCACCACAACAAAGCCATCTGTTTTTGTTTGTTATACCAAGGACAGAGGCGGTCTCGCAATCGCAGAGAACGAGTCGCAATGCCGCAGGTTCTGCTGCAAGGACAATGACAATCGGAAGAAAGTAAGTGTGTGCCAACAGTGATGCGAGTAGTCTTGTGCCAGAGGCAAGTGTAGCAATCACGTGCTAGCCACACATAGAACGACTTACCATTTTCAGAGTGGAACTTAAAATTTCTAGGAACAGTTGGCAATCATAACAACCGCAAGGAGCAATCGCAGCAGTCTGTCCCAAGTTCAAGGTAGTAGTATCAGCGCTCTGGAAAGTTGAAACCGAAGCACCAGTACACTCAGTGAACTGACATCCCTGCTGAAACACAGTACTGGCTCCAATATTATGGACTTCCTACCCGCGGCATTTCGGCAATCGTGGTAAGAACAGGGTGTGCAAAAGGTTTCAGAACCAGCACAGCCACTGTAGAATGTGCTCATAAACCCTAGCGAAGTTAAGGGCGGGCTGTCGCACTTGCTATACAAGCACTGACTTACCATTGCCGTGCTGGAAATTGTCAATATAACACCGGCGCTTTTGTGAGTCTTGGTTTGCATCAATTCTCAGAGGCATTGGAAAATGACATTGGAAATAATGCAACAACGCGGCAACAAGGGGAGGCAAGAAAAATCAACACAATAAACTGTAAGAACCAAGCAACAGGAGGCCTGTTTCAACAGATAGAAGACTACTTAGCAGACCACACTTGAGAAAAGGGCCACGAAAGCGAGGGGAAGGAAGTGTAGCAGGGAAGGGGTGGGGCGACTCATCAAGCGAATCTGTTGCCGCGGAGAACTGCGAATCACTCGAGCGTGGCTTACATGTGAAAAACTTGCTGGATGCATTGCCTCCTAGTGGGTCAAGGACTAGTGTCGGTGATGTGCTCAGAGTCGTCGAGGCAGCCTACGCTCTCCTTCTCTCTGCTTGGCGCCACTCGGGCCACTACCACTGAGGTGACTTGGCAAAAGACCACTCCCGCAAGCTCCACAGAGCGAGCTTTGTGACAGGTCAACACAACGGTGGCTAGAGAACGATATACAGGAGCTTGAAATTATGCCTCGGCAATGGCGGCACGTGTGGTCCAAGCCGCTGTTGGTAAGCACCTGGCACATCCGGTGATGGGTAAATCAGCTGCAGACCTCACAATGAGCTTGATCCAGGAACTATTCTGCACCGAACAAGGGCGGCATACGTGACCAAGTGTCTTCGCAAAGCTCAGGCTAGATTTTCATGTGTCGCAGTCGAAGCAAAGGGAGCGCGAGTTCTTCTCTGCGTTTCCGCATCCGTCGGCGTGTGGGCATGCTGTCGCCGCAAACGCAGCACCTGCAGCGATCTTCACCATGTCATCTGCACAGATTTGCAGTTTCAGGTAGCTGCTAGCCAGCATCTACTCGCACCCAATCGCCTCCTTCTCTGGGACGTAGATGCCACCACCGTCTTTTGTCGGATGTATTCGGACATGCAGCTCATCCTGCTTATCTGCAGGGAGCTGTTGAAGACTTTTGACGAGAACAAAAAACTCAGACAGCGGCCCAATGCCTGCAGCAGTTCAGCCACCTCCGAATGCAGGCGACCTCCATCTGTGCTGTGCAGACCTGGACGCGACGTTTACAGCACAAGCGGCACAAAGATATATAACCTATACTCATACACAAGCAGAGGCTTTCGAATGCCAAAGGTAGCATGTCGAGGGAACACAGCCAGGAAGACTCGGACAAAGACCCGGCCTCTTCCCGTGACAATCAACAAGGCGCCCTCGACATCTGACCCACTCTTCTCGTCCAATGCCACGCGGACGGCAGCCTCGAGTCAAGAGCAAGTCCGTGTCCAAAAGCATCATCGGCAACATAGCACGACATGCCTTGGCGGAGTTCAAGCTCATCTCGTGCAAGTCAAGCACCTAGGGTGCAAGTCAAGCACCTAGGCCAACACTTGGGCGAATCCAAAACCTACACC